ACAGAAAAAGAAGCTGTCATATCGACTTTTTAATAAGTTTTGTAGCACTGAAGAAAATTCCCAAGATTGTGGGGCTTTGAAATTTGTGTAGAGTCTGAAACTAGAACTTTTCTTCAAAATTTGTGATTAATAACAATCTTTGTGATGCAAGATTGAATTGAGTGCAGTTTCGAACCCCTTTGGATACGGTTGTGTTATATGTTTGCTCTCTATTTTGTGCGTGCGTTCGCTTTCATAGTTTTCGGCTGCATTTGCCTGATTAGCGCTGGCACTCTGCCTCCCGGACGGTTATACGTGTGTGATTGGTTGTTTTCTCGCTCTCCGGGAAGTTTTAGACTCGAGAAAGAAAACGTGTTTCATCCTGTTTGCAAGAATCAGAAGAGATGTTGCTATCTGGGTTGTTTGATTTTTTGTCCCGAAACAGAAATTTGTGGGATCGCGATAATTTTTAATTTCAGTTTATTTACGCGCTGTAAGGTGCGATAAACGGTATTCCGCTGATTGGATCTGTGACTCCGTTTTCCGTTGCTTTTGATTCCATTGGCAGTTAAGTATTTTCTCCTTCGGGAACGGAAAATATTCTTGTTGTGCGGCAGATGATGTTCTGTGTATGGTATGAAGTAAAAGTGGTATAGCAGAAATAACTTGGTGCTATCCTTGAGTTGATTTGTCACCTGTTCAAAAGAGTATTTAGATGCCACGACCGTTCCAATACCACAAGCTTGCCACCAACTCAACGGGATTACTGGAAACATTGGATTTATATGGTGAGACTTTTCCATTATTAACATTTTATGTACCATTTAATTGATGACATATTATAATCGGTTAACTTTATTGCTTCCATTTGAATAATGATTTATTGTTGAAATTTGTAATTGATTATGATTCAAGTTGAAAAGACATAGAGGTTAGGTCATTTTATTTCAGCAACCTTATCTTCCAGCAGACGCTCTGGACAGCAATTTCAACATTTGCCAGCAACACTGACTGGGTGAATCCTATGGCTTTCCTTCCCTACTAACATAATTCCTAAATGCCCGAGACATTTATAAGGGGTCGTAGAGTTCTCTGCATCTCTCTTAAGTAAATGTTGGACTAACATACCTTTCCTATCCCTACCAGTTGTAAGGACGTGGCCAGGACAATCCTTAACTGTTGGAGCGCAATTTGTCTTTATCTGGGAGAGAGTAATTATTTCCTACTTACTATCCGTCCAGTAATAGATATCCGTCTTACTCTTAATAGTTTTGAATTCGTACCACCTACGATATTGTGCAACTTGTTCGATGCTAATGCTAATCTTCGTTATCTTCGTGATACAAGATTTGGAGACAAAATAATTAAAATGAGAGATTTTGAAAAAAAATTCAAAATCGCAGATTTGAAGAAAAAAATAATCATACTTATGAGTCGTGGAGTCATAATTGTCACACTCTGAGACTTCGAAGCATTTTAAGGGTTATAACTAATTACAGAACAATCTAGTGAATCTTGCAGACAAAACCTGGAATTTTTAGTAAAATTTAAAAGAGTTCAAAGTGTTGATTTCAAACAATTATTGAGAAGGATTCCCAAACAGTTTTTGAAGGAGAAGTTCTGAGCAAAATTCCAGAATTATTCTGAAATGAAGTCCTTAGAAATTGTTAGATGAATTTCGAGGGATTTCTTTGGAGAAGAAAGCAAGTTCTAAATCAAATTGTTTCGTTATTTTAGAAGATTTCAATAGGAGTTGTGAAAAACAAATCTTCCTACGTGATTCTGAGGTGATTTTATGGGGATTGTGACAGATGAATTTTAAGAAGAATTCCAAGAGAATTATGATCATAATTCAACAAGAAACAGAGTTCTAAGAGTGTTCTGGCAATAATTTTAACCCTGAAAATTCATCCCTAAAAATTCATCATAGAACTTCAACAAAAAATAACTCTTAAAATTAGTCCAAGCGGTTTCTTAATAAAATTTCAAAGGTTTCTATTGTTTTGAATAGAGGAGAAAGAAATTTTTCACAAGATTTTCATAAGAATCAAAGTCGCCAAATGGGTTCAAGGGAATTCTAAGAAGGATTCCAATTAAATTTTTAGAAGAAGTTTCAAATAAATTCCAAAAAAATTCAACGGTAAATATTACGCGGAGTGTTTTCTGGTTAATTTCAGAAGAATTCCATGACAATTTAGAGCAGTTTTCAAGTTGATTCAGGAATTTATATCATAAAAATTTTGAACAACGAAAAATTAATACCCCGGAAAAGAATAATTCAGTTTTAGTTTTTACAAATATTTGTTTCCAAAGTCCAGCATCTTCAACATATTCTTTTAAGGACCATGCACTTTACATCTGAAATTGAAGCGACAAAAATCAATTTGCAATATTGCCGAGTGATTTAATTGTAAAAACAATAAGACGGGAAACTGAAGAAAACTATGCAGCAAATAGAGCAAGATATTCATTTGGTAAAGGATCACTCTGTTTTAATGGTTTATTCTGAAATTCTGGTGTAAAAATTTGTATGGTTAATTTATTTATCCTGGTTCTCTCGTCAAATTCCTGGATAAAACTAGCTACAAAATTGTTAGAATTTCCTAATTCAGAGAATTTTATTAAGCTTGAGATGCTTAAATTAATGAGATCCAAAAATGTTTAACAAACGATCATTGCTTGTTCAAAACTAGTAGGCTTTTAAGGCTCCCCCAATCGAGGTCCCAATCGTTGTTTTGAAATAAATATAATCAAATCTACAATTTCACCATTAAAATAACAGTAAGCCTCATTGTCATACTATTGGTCACAGAAAACATGTACCCAAAAACAAGTTGCCTGACGCAATTTGATTGAATAACCTTTTCGCGAGTTTTTATTTAACCGTAGTTTAATAGTGTGGCAAGTCCAATCATACTTCTATGCCCAGGGAAGTCGAGAAATTTCCCAACCCGAAAAATTCCTTGACCGGACCGGGAATCGAACCCAGCCACCTCCAGCATGGTCTTGCTTTGTAGCTGCGCCTTTACCGACTGAGATAAGGGAGGCCCCAAAAGTTAGTTAGGTGGTGTAGTGGTAAGCGTTCAATTCAATTCTGAGGCATAAAATCTCTGATCACGTGTCTCATCGGAAGGGAATTAAGGCCGTCCTTGAGTATATGGGTCGATAGATAGGGTCCAGGTGTGGGAGCTGCCACCCTGGCATCGGCAGCATTGGTACTCAGTACGGAAAACAAGATCGACGGAAAACAAAGTAAGGAACCATTTTTTTATGTCAAATATTTTAGGGCCACCCTAATGATTAGAACCACTAAAAGAAGGGACTTTCCAAGTACAAAAACTTAACCAAATACACCTAACGTCTGAATATTAAAACAAAAGATCTAAGGCGACTATGCCTGCTAAATTCCCATTCTTTACGCCAGCTGTCAATGCCCAGAGAAGTCGAGCAATGTCTCAACCGAAAAAAAACCTAGTTCGGTCCGGAAAAACAACCAAGTCATATGGTCTCAGCTCAGTCGTTAAAGGTGCAGCTACAAAGCAAGACCATGCTGAAGGTGGCTGGGTTCGATTCCCGGTCCTATCTAAGATTTTTTCAGGATGGAAAATTTCTCGACTTCCCTGGGCATAGAGTATGATTGTACTTGCCACATAATTATACTAATGCAGAAATGATACAGGTATCGAAAGATCTCAATTTACAACTGTGCAATAGATGCATTAAGTTGAGAGCAAACAATCAGCGAATATGCGATAGGCAATAAGCTTGAAATGTGAAGAAGAAAATCATATGGTCTTGCTTTACAGCTGCGCCTTTACCGACTGAACTAATGTGGTTTTTACATATACGCTGGTTCACTAGCGCTCGTGCACTAGAACTGTACTAAAAAGAAACCACCATAATGTAAACATGGCCTCAGCATCTACCAGCATGAGATTTCAGGAACAACTGAAATTCGCACTAGTTAATTGAGCTGGCTGAGCTAGTGAACTAGCATAAGTTTGAACAGCAATGCCTTCGAAATTTAGAAATTGTTCGAATCAATCGGCAAGTCAACAAGTTTTCACTTCCCAGAACTTGCCGCAAGTAGCACAATGTTTGATACCCAGCAGCATATCGCCAAGAAAGCTAATTATCTTCGGAACGAGTTTCAGCACCCCGCAAACAAGCGCAACGTCGAGACAAATTTCGTAACGGTTCGCCATTTAATACCCCCCCATATCTCGTTCATCAGTGCGAAGGCCACCGAAGCAAGGGCACCGCACCTCATAAACCGCAAGAAGTGTGCTCCAATATTTCACGCTAAAATTTATGTGATGCCATTTAAAGTACTTCGCAAACTCCCCCCGTAATAATAATTTACGACATACCACTGGCTTCTTAAGCGAAAACTCAACTTGAAATCCACCAAATGGCAATTGGCAGCCGGTAAATTAATCATTAAATGCTGCACGAAAATTGAAAAGACATCCAAACACGATCCGAAAAACAACACCTTCAAAGTGGACAATTAGCGAACAATCACAAAACATAAAAGAAATTAATTGCACAACTTTCCAGCTCATTTCACCTGTGATCACCACCCGAACCACAACGAAAAAAAACCGGAGTTTCAGAAGTGGGGAATGAGCGAACCATTAATTCACATCTAGTATCACTATAAATTGAACCTGTTCGAAACCTCTTCCTTCAAGGATTCAGCAAACTCAAGCAGCACCCCAAAAAAACTACGACACAAACCGGGTTCGATGGTAGTAGCGACATCGCCGTCAGGTCATGACACGAAACTCAAGCCGTAAACCAAGTATGACAAGCATCAATTTTTCATTGCTCATCCTGCTGCACTTTCCAGTCGTCGGCGAAAGACGGTTGATCGTAAATTTCCCACGTGTAATGGATTATTTATCATCACTCTTGACTGGCACCCACACTGCTTCAACACATCATCAAAGTCAATACGGTTTCAGCACTTCTGTGGATGACGTTGAACGGAGATGCACAACTTTTGCTTGGAAACTCACCGAAATGCAAACAAAAATCTGCTGCAAAAAGTGTTTAACCGTCTCAGCTGTAGTGAACCGAAACGAACCGTCTGCGATCAGCACTAATTTGAAACTGATTCGTATGGTGTTTTCATAGACAGATTGGTCTTCGACTTGGATCCATTCCCCTCTCCATCGTCCTCGCCAGTCCGTTGGACGAGCAGTGAACCAATCGCCAACCCCTCCTCCATTCATCGCAGACTATCAATTTGCCATTAAGCTTTGGTTCATCGATCGGCAGTAGATCGCCACTCACGGCAACTTGCACTCACACGCACACTGCTGGGCGAGCGGCTTCCATCCGACGTCCTCGTTCAGCAGCAACTTTTTAACGAACCATGTGCTGCAACTATTTCCTTTGCAAATGAATAGGTCCGTCGGTGCCTAATAAGTCAGCTGATCGATTGATGTAGGCAACCTACTGCGCGCGATGTTGTAGGCAGATTTAATCTAATTGATTGAAAAATGCGTTCGAAACCAAACATGAAATTTGAACGAGGAAGTTGTGGTTGCACATTTCACAATTTGTTCTAGCAGGGGAAAAAAGTGAAACAAGTGCATCAATCAATAAATTGGGTAAACTGGAACATGCTTTTCAAATATGCACACCGAGATGGAATCAATTTAGAAAACCACTTTACTCACATATCAATGCCGTCTGATTGATGCATTTACATTTACATGGTTTGCGGTGTTGTAATTTCAGCTGAGTTAGATAGAATCCAAAAAAAGAGATAGGCAATTAAAATTGCTGTTTCACAGCAAACATAAATGTGGATACTGATTGAAAATCCTGATTCAATTATAAATTCCGAATGTTTCGAATGAACATTTGCAAGTATCGTATTTAACCTACAAACCACATAATCCGGGCAATTTGTTTCTATATTCTACTACACCAACGCTTCCCGTGCAGAAATATCAGCAACTCTCGGAATTTACGTTGCTGTAAATGTCACAGAGGATGCCACATGGATGCAACTTTCAAACGATGAGTTACCTACGAATTGGCATTTCAGCATCACTGATTCTAATGGGTGGGTTTCTGCTCGCTATACTGTGCAACACAACTTCCTAGGACAGACATTTGCCAGCAAATTTGACTTTCTTCCTGAGTATAATAAGACTAGCTTAGACTATAATTTTACCCTAACACGTAACGTTTTTTAGGCACCACTCCCTTTGTGAGCCTGTACCGCCCTACTGGCGTATATGAGATAGACGAGCATGCAACAAGCAGTGCTGTGGTTGCGGGCAGTCATTGACTACTAGGCACTAAAACTAATAAAAAACAATAAATTATCTATTGCACTGATGCGTGGAATTTATATCCTGGGTTTCATCGGGAGGTTTTTCCGCTCACAAGTGAATTCATGGGCATGGTTACCTTTTGTTAAAATGTTTTAATAAACCTCAGAATATTTGCTATCGGAGTTGCAAACCAATTACAAAAAAAAAATCACTCTATTTTTAAAGCAGGTAAATAGTGAGCTGTCAAAATTAGGAGACCATTTCGTACAACAGGTATGGCGATAATGAAAGAGAAGAGCAACACAATAGTTGGGTAAAGAAGAATTGCATTATAGCACACCATCGACTGGAAATGCTCTCGCAACGTGGGGCTTTAGGTAGTGATAAAACGTCGCTAGAACTATTCCACAGCCGCAGACAGTAATGAGCAAAGGCGGGCGCACACTTTTTGCCTGTAGATTTGAAGACATACTTCAAATCTCCGCGTACATCGTACGGGTTAGGCAAAAGGTGTACGTTTGACTTTGTACTGTCGCATTAATGGCCCTTCGATAATTTTCAGCTTCTATTCAATTTTCATACTGCTGTACTCTAACGGAACTATCCACCTACCCTCTTCTAAGATCATTCTCTAGCTAATAAATCATCACAAAAGCTTCATGTTAGATAGTATTTCCAACCAACTCTGATAATGAAATGTTTACCAAAGAGACTGAATTGGGTAAAGAGGCGACATCTTGTTCACTTGACAGGTCTCGCACTCGATTGGAATAACTAATCGTATGGTTTTGACACATAATCGACAGTTCCAATTATCACATGTTGTCTCTTTATTCATCTAGTCTGTTTAATGTTTACCATCGCTGCCGCTCTTTCGTATTACAATGAAAATGTGCAATGAAAATGTACAGTGATATATGCTTTTAACCCTTCATCTGTGCCAAAAAAAAACTTACGTTGCTGTACCTTGGGGTCAATTTTAAGTAAAAAAAATCAATCAAATAATCCTAAACAATTAGCCATGATGTTTAAGTATGCTTGTTGCGACAACCACTGGGTTGTCACCGGGCGATTAAGTGAGCGGGCGCTCCCTCGACGTAGATGAATGACCTTTACAATTGAAAGTGTATATTGTGAGAAGAGCGGTATTTTCACTTAACCACGTTCCAAATTAGATACGAAGTATAATTAAATTATTTGGCAGTAAATTACTACTTTCACTTGATTTGCATAAGTAAGTTTGAACGACGGTAGTGTTTTAGATCAACATTTATACTGGAGTTCATAAATACGTGAACCTAAATATATAACATATAAAATTATAACCTAGATTCACCGATAGCTCAAATCATAGATTGATTAGATAACTGGCATCTAAATTTATTCCATTTACACTGAAATGTAAGTACTACGCTATATGCTAAATTTGTTAATCGCCACATAAAACCTCAATACAATTTCAGCTTTGAAGCTGTACAGTATCAGCTATTAGAATTTGATGTTTTGCTACCAAAATTATCACAATATTTCTTAAAAGATTTCATCGATTTCGATAACGAAAGGACATTTTCGGAATAAGATGGATGAAACTAAGGATTCTACGACGGATGTTGCCCAGAATACAGGTGATGTAACCGCAGATCGTAATAGCGAGATCGTTGTGATCAGTTCGTGCACTTCAGCTGCGCAGGGGTGGACGAGTCGATAGCTAACCCTGATCACAGTTTCCTATGTAAGCAGTGTACGGAGAAGGATGAAATGATTTCAAGCGTATCCAGAAGATTTAGCCAGTGATCTCGCATTAGCCGAAGCTCGGCTCAGCTGGCATTAAGGTTGAAGAAATTGTAAGAGGAAAATCGACTCCGGATGAAGAAAATAGACGAAGCGGAAAGATTCAGAAGGATTGATTGATTGATTTATCTTTATTAGGGAATTCAGGTGGATGCGATTGGAAGCAGAGGAAAAGTAATTGAAGCAAAAGTTTGAGTTACTTCAAGCGGACCTTGATCGCGACGATGACAAGGCCAGCAGGAGTGTAGTAAGTCGACGAATAGTTCGGGAAAACACTGAGTCATGGGTTGAAAAAGGAGGTCAGACTGAAGGAGCAAACAGTAATGCTGCCGCGTCGTCCAGTAATCATCCACAACAGTCTTCGCCGAGCAATGATGAAGAAACTGCTCAACCGCTGGTAGTTACTGCCTTAGGACAGATAGAAGAACCAAACTTTTCGGTACAGGTTCCTCCGGAATCCACAGTAACAAGTACTCCTAAAGATGCTTCAACAGAATCCAGCCTTCTTCCAGGTGAGACAGCTGAATCGAAGGGAAAGTGTACATCGTTTACGTTTGTACCAGTGCTCAGTGGTCCAGAATGCAGATTTAGGTGGAATAATATGTTTTGAGCCTGAAATTGAAACTTTAGACTAAAAGTCTCTTCAACAAAGTTGTTCCTTATAGTTAGGCCCTCATTTTTATGACAATGAATTCAAGGGTGGTTCCTATTATCATTAAAATCAAAAATCTAACTTTTTTGTTTGAATAAATTAAGGTATAACTGTGTTGAAAATAACTTTTTTGTAACTCTTAAATTGGCCGATTTAGAGCTATTTTCTTGAATTGAGTTAGGGTGGCTCTTTAAAAAAGTTATTTTGCTCTAGTTTTCTTATTTCAAATTTCTCAGCAAAGGTGATCTTAAGAAGGCGCAAATTTTTGCTGCAAAAAGTTTGTCAATATCTTTCGCTGATCAAGAGTTATTGACGTTTTTATACTAAAAATATACACTTTTCAAATGTTAATATCTCTGGTTTAAAAAAAGTTTTTTTAAGGAATTTGAAAGGGCGTATTTTATTCTCAATAATATGAAAAAATTGGAGGTATGTTATTTTTTAAACTTGAATAAAATCAATTTGAATTTATTCATCTATTATTAGGTTTTTGCGGTGTGCATTGCTTTTGTGCACAGAGTGACATGAAGAAGAAAAGTGATATTTAGTTATTGTGTGTTTGGATTCGCTGGAGGAGGAATTGTTTAAAAATGACTAGAGAAAATTAAGCATCGAGAATGCGCTCCCGGATGTATTGATTTGGTGAGTACGTTCCAGTTGAAGATTGTTCTCTCTAAATATCCCTTTTTTGAATACGTTTCATCAATCAAACATTATTATATGTTGGGTTTGGGGGGGGGCAGCCTAAGGGTTTCAATGGATTTGTAGACTGGACAAGTGTTCGTGGATTTGCCAGTCCCTTGTCACGTGTTGATAGACGTACATCTTGTCGTTTGTCTTCCAAAGGTCTTCAATGAAGTTGATTCACCCAGCTGCAACAAACCATCAGGCAGAACTTTACAACCAGTGAAGTATCTGCAGTCATATGTAATCCTTGCACTGATGGTGGGTTCTATTCACATCACATGTTCCCCTATAAAAAAGTGAATTTGTGTCGCATATATTATAATCTCATCTGATTCTGGATTTTACAGTCAGCTTCACAGGTGTCAACCTCCTGCCCAGGAATAAGGAAAACTTCGTTAAAGTCTCTTATTGTGTTTCCCTTCCGACTGGGGGACTTGTAGACTTCGGGGCAAACTTTCTTTGACGGTGGTGGATTATTCCCTTCGTTCGCCTCCGTATCCGAAACTGGCTACATCTGTTCCAATTCTGCTTCAGCCTCCAAGCGAGTCTTGAACTCTCTTTTTTTCACTCAATTGATACGTTCCCACATTGGGTTTGGCATGGAGAACTCGTCTTGAGAGAGTTTCGCTACCGCGTTTTTTTTCCGGCCAGTGTAGGATTCCAGCTTCTTTCCAACCAGAAAGAATTACGGT